TTTCAAATACATTCAATTAATTTTTTTTAAATGATGTCATTTAATTGATTTAAACAATTATTATTATTATTATGGTTTAAACCCACCCCTACCTCCAAAAAAAAATTGATGACAAAATATAGATGACAAACACATTAAACTAGTAGTTATTTATATTATTTAGTTATTATGTCATATAATTTTATTTAAAACTATAATTAGTTGAATTTATATGTATAATATAGTAATTAATTAATTAATTTTTTTGTGAATATTAATAATGGCATAAAAATGTCAAAATTATCTCATGTTTATGTCTTTTAATTTTATATATATATTATTTATATATTATATTATGTTTTTTTAATCAAATTTGTCACAACTAATTATGATTGATTTTTTTGACCTTATTTTTTTAGTTATTGTTGTAATATATATATATATATATTAATATATTTTTTTGTTTATTTATTAAAACTGACAGTATATTAATTTTTATTTTTATTTTTTATTTTTGATGACAACTTAATATTTTTTAAAAATAACATTTATATAGTAATTATTATTAAATTAAATAATCAAAAAAAGTATGTAAAAACAGTTTTATTAAAATTGTGTTACTTATTAATTAATATAAATATAATAATTATAATAATTTTGTTAATTAAATTTATAATGTTGATTATAATCTTATACATTTATAATTATAATTATAATATTAATTAACACATATTAATAATAATTAATAATTTATAAATAATTATTTTTGACCAAAAAATAAATTGAAATTTTTTTAAATAATTTAATCATAAAATAGTCGCAGTTTTATATTTTGTAAAATAATTATTTATATAAAAGTTTACACAAAATAAATTTAAAAATAAATTTATATCATATATTATTATAATCCAGCTTAAAATCTTTTAATTTTTTATTTAATACAAAAAAAATGTCAATTATTATTATTATTTAAACTTTTGAAATGGTATTATAAATTATAAGCTATTTTTATTTTTGAAGGTATTAGTAGTATTTTTATCAGATAACTGTCACTTTTATTTTAAACTTTATATAATTAATTAAAGTAATAACAAAATGTTTTGATTAATATTTATTATAATACATAGAAAAAAAAGTTTAAAATATATTAACATTGTTTGCACACAAAAAAAAACTTATCTAAAAAAAATTTAAATAAATTAACAATTTTTTTACGTTTGAATTTATTTTCTTATTATTATTTAAATAATTTTCTTAATATTATTATTAAGTATATAATAATATAAAACAAAAATTTTATGTAACATAAAACAGTAATTTGATTTTATTAATTTAATCAAAGTTTTATTACAATCATATATTATTTTTTTATAGATTAAATTACATAAATACATAAAACATATTTTATTTTTAAATATAAAATTTATTTAAAACATAATTTTTTTTAATCTTTACTATAAAAAAAACTAATCTTATGTTCACAAAAAAAATCCAATTTATATTTATTTATTTTTTTTGTTATAAAACAAAACAACAACAACACAAAAAGTTTTTATCTATATTATCTATATTTTTATTATATTATAAAATAATATACTATAAATTATTTAGTATTATTATTGTGTATAAAAACTTTTTTTTTATAATATACAGTACAGTATAGTATATATATATAAATTATTTTATTATACAGATAATATTTTTTTTAGTGCATTATATACTATATATTTATTAAAAAAAATATATTTTATGTTTAATATTTAAAATTTTAATATTACTCAAAAATATTTTTGAATTACATGAAAATTTATAGTATATATAATAATATTTATTTTTTTGTAAAAATATTATTAAAATTAATTTCAATATATATATATATTAGTTATTTGAGTAAACAAATCAAAAATATTTCTATAGATATTATTAATAATAATAAATTTTGTTTAATTTAGTTATTATATAATTTATTTATCTATTTATTTATTTATTATACTTAACTGCTAAAAGTGTGACAAAATATTTTAATACAATTAATCTTTTAAACTATAAAAATATAAAATCACTTTTTAAAAAAAACAACAACAACAAAAAATATATTATTTATAATCAAAATTTTTCATTATATGAAAACTTTTTTTTTTAATAATTTTTCTATCATTTAATCTTTTGCTTAATTTTTGCTTAAATAGAGTTTTTGTTATTATTATTTAAAAATAAAATGATTTATTATTTAAATACTGAAAAATATATATATAATAATAATAATAATTTTAAAAAATTATTTTGTATAGTTTAAATAATGCAATATTTTTAGACAATGACATCATTTATTATAAAAATAAATTCAAATAAAAATCATATATAAAACTTATAATATATATATATATATATATATATATTGTATATAAAATACTTACTACTATTTAACATTTATATGACATTGTTTTTTTTGGGGGGGGGATATAAACACAAAAAGCATATATTAATAATAAAAATTGTTATTATATTATCTGTCTATTTTTAAAGTCAAACTATTAATCTTTTATACTATATATTAATATATATATATATATATATATATATATAGTTATTATTTAATGTATTAAACATTTTCTATATATAGATTTTACTGTAATAGTTTTGAAATAAATTAATAATGATAAAATAAAAAAAAATAATCATAATAAAATTGATACATTTTTATTATTATATTACATAACTACAACAACAACAAATAAAATATAAATTTATGTATTAATTAATTTTATAGTATTTATCATGTTTTTTTTATAGATATAATGTTTATTTATTTTTAAAAAAAATTAAATTTAAATTCAATGACAGTGAAATTTATTTGCAATTAATTATTTTTTAATTGTTGTATTTATCAATTGAAGTGTTATAGGCAGCGATTAATTTAATTTATATTTAATATTATTATTAATTTATAAATTTGTCTAAACACTAGTATTGTATTTTATTAAAATCTAAATCTACTAATTTATTAGTTATACATATTATACAAATACTATATACTGTACTAAATACTGTATTATACTATATAATACATAATATATGATAGACTTACAAATTTTTTATTTAAAAAATTATTAAAAAAAAAATAAGCGGGAAATTATTTTAGTTAATTTAAATTTTTTCAAAAAAAAAAATTATATTTATTTTATCACAAATTGAGATATTTGATTTGATTGACATATTTGACAAATTGATGACAAACAAACAAAAAATGTTAATTCAAAATAATGTCTATTAAAATAAAAAGTAGTTATATATATATATATATATATATATATATATTAGTTATCTGTTTATATATTATTATATAATATAATAATATATATAAATATAAGTTATATCTATATATAAGTTTTCTGTACATTTAGATATATTGATTAAATCATATATATTTTTTCGTGAATAAATTATTTTATCCGTGACATTATGTTTAACTTATTTACAATATATATATATATATATATATTAAAATGCAAACTATAATTATAGTCACAAAAAAAATTTTTTTTAAATGTTAGATGAGATTAGACATCAACAACAAAAAATCATATATAAAGTCAACAAATATTTACTCTCAAAAAAAATAAAATAAAAATAAGTAAAGTCTACTTAAAAAATACATTAAATCTTAATTATACTATAAATACTACTAGATTTTCACAAAAAAAAACAAAAAAAAATGTTTTTTTGGAGTAATATTTTTTTTATTAAAAAATATTTAGCAAATAAAAAATAACATTTTTTTATTTAATATGAGTTTTAGTGTTTTTTTTCGAAAAAAACAGTTTTTCAAAATTTAATCATTTTATATATATATATATATATATATATATATATATATATTTAATGTTTATTTTCTATCATTTGATTAAATTATAATATGATTTAGAAATTTTTTTGCATACATTTATAATTTATAAGTAATTTAAAAAAAAAATTAATTAGCAATACTACTAACAATATCAACAACAAAATTATATATTATTATTAATGCGGTTATTATTATTATTAAAATTTATAGACAATTAAAAAAAATTATGATTAACAACAACAAAAAACAAAAATTACATAAAAAGTTTCAAATATACTATTTTTTTATTTATACACTAATATACAGTAATTTTAAATGAAAAATTCCCGTAATATCCGACTATCTATAAGTGTCCAAAAAAAGTTAAGTTTAGTTAAGTCAAGTGTTATGTGTATTGTATTACTAGTATTTGTATTATTTAGTCAATAGGTTTGTCAATATATTATTATTTTCAGCTAATTTTTGTTTTGATTTGATATAACAAACAATATTATAATAATAATTTCCAACATAACTACTACTACTTAATTATTATTCAATTTACATTAGAAATATATTATACAGTATAAACATTTTATATACAATTTTTTTGGTATCATTAATGCCTATTGTATTGTCTCTAAACTTTATACTTAATGCATAAATTTAGGTTTAATTTGTGTATTAGTTTAAATGTAAAAATGTTTTTGTGTAAAGAATCTATAAGTATCTAAACTCTCTCTCTCTCCTCTCTCTCTCTCTCTCTCTTATATGTATATTATAACATATATATAGTAAACAAATTGCAGAATAATGTATTCAAACAACAATACTATTAATAAAAAATAAGATAAATATTTGAAATTAAAATTTTTATAAATTAGTTGTTCAAATAATCCCCTTTAAAAAAATTAATGTGTTTTAATTTATATATGTATTTATTATACTTGATTATACTATTATATAATATATATATATAGTATATTACAGTATTATACAGTATGCAAGTCTACTAACAATACCGGGAGGGAAAGTGAGAGGCCATGTATGGCATTAATAATGTTGTACACAATATAACAGTACACCCTGGTGCACCTATATGTACCTCACATGGCTATCATTTGTTTATTATAAACATTTTTAAATATTTTAAGCACATGTTTGATATATTTATTTTTTTTGTAATATTAAAACAATGTATAGTGATAGGGAAGTGTTACGGCAAAAAATTAAATTACTTAGTGACCAGGGTATGTCCGCGGGGAGGGTCGCAAGGGAGCTCAACTGTAACATCAAAACAGTCAAGAAGTGGTCAAATCAGGACAATTTTCGGCATAAATACAACACAATTCAACGCAAGAAAATGACACCAAACACCAAGAGAAGGGTCAGCAATGAATTAAAAGACAAAGTTGGGGGCAGTTTGCGAAAATGCGTCCGTAAACTCAATATGTCCAGTGATTACATTAACCGCGACAAAACTATCTCAAGACGGACAGTTCAAAGGTATCTAAAATCAACAAAATGGGGATCAATTGCAAGAAAAATGAAAGTAAAGCCACTATTGACCCCCAAAAATATTGCTGATCGCTTAAAATTTGCAAATATGGTTACCAGTGCCGGGTATTGTGATAATACCCGAAGGGGGCGGGAACTTCGGGAAAACGTCCTATGGACGGATGAATCACCAATTGAACTATTTCCGAAGTTAAATCATCAAAATACCCGTATTAGGACATCAGATAAGACAAAACAAATTGTTGGCCGACCTAAATTTCCATTAAAAATCATGGTCGCGGGTGGTATCACAGCTAGTGGGAAAACAGAGCTATATGTCTGTCCGCCAAAAGAGACTATCGGTGGACAGGTTTATGAATCTAAAATATTACCATTATATTTAGATGCCATTAATGATCCATTAACGATCGGTAACAAAAGAAAGGCCACACTTTGTCAGGATAGTGCCCCTGGCCACAATATCCGATCGGTAATTAACAAAATAACATCAACATATCCGAACTCTTGGACTGTCGGTAAATGGCCGGGAAATTCTCCGGATTTTAACTTAATTGAACCCGTTTGGAGTGTACTTAAGGATTCCGTACACAAAAATCCAATTCCCAAAAATCGGGATCAATTAATTAGAAGAGTTCGGGAAACTTGGAATTCCCTAAATCCCGACTATTTAAAAAAACTTGTCCACTCATTCCCGAACCGCATCAAACAGGCTATTGACAATTGCGGAGGAAATACTGACTATTAATTGATATTTTAAAATAAAAATTATTTGAATTTAATTGTTTAATTATTATTTTTTTATGATTTAAATTAATTGTTTCAAAACAGGAACAAATAGGTGCACCAGGGTGTATATATATATATATTATATACAATATATAAACTATATATATTATATATATATATATATATATATATATATATATAAAATACACGTTAGTTAACCAATAAATAATGGATTTTTAAGTAAGCAATCGATTAAATTGTTTTTTTTGCAATTTCTCTCTCTCTCTCTCTCTCTCTCTCTCTCTCTTTCTATCAAACTATTGTCTGTATACATGTTATAAATAATTTACAGACAAAATAACATTATATTTTAGTTTATTTAATTCTCACCCATTTTTTGCTCTCTCTCTCTCTCTCTCTATATATATATATATATATACAGTATATATATACAGTATATATATATACAGTATATATATATACAGTATATATATATACAGTATATATATACAGTATATATATACTATATATACAGTATATATATACTATATATACAGTATATATATACTATATATACAGTATATATATACTGTATTACTGTATACTGTATATATACTATATATACTGTATATATCGAAGTTTAAACTATGTTACAAATGTAATAAATATAAATTTAATTAAAAAATATTTTAGTCAAGTCAAATAAATTATATCTTATTCAATATAATAATAACAAATATTTATATATATATATATATATTATTTTAAAAACTTTTTGTTACATAGTTTTGTTGTTATTTTTTTAATAATATTTTTTTATCACTTAATATAATAGTGATTAGTCTAATAAATAATTAAATTTATAAATAAATTTTTCAATAGTTATAATTTTTAGTAACTATAATATATTTTTTTGTGTTATACTTAAATTCTCAAATATATGTCCAAACAAAATATATATATAAATATAAATTACCTAAACTTTTAGTAAATACATAATTGATTTATTATTTTATTTTTTTTGTTTTACTAAAAACAACTATATATTAGACATACATTTAATGGACAATATATTTGATTCAAATAAATATAGCTATAATTATAACAAAATTATAACTCTTTTTTAAAAAAATAAAACCTTTTTTTTGTTGTAAACGTTAATCTAAACAACAATATTATTATTATTAGTTTATTTGATATACACATACAATATATACAGTATATAACTTATATATACTATTGTGATAAAGACATTAACACTTAGAGACAACAATAACACATCGATTGGATATTTATTTTTTATTTTTTTTGGCACTTAAAGAGTCAGTCAGTGTTTTTGAACATATATTTCAGGTTTTTTTGTTGTTATTGTCTTTCATTTCATCTAAAAGTTTAAGTCATTTGACTTTTTTGTTGCGCAAAAAAATTATTGGATTTCTCTCTCTCTCTTAACTTATTTTTGTTGTTTATATATATATATATATATATTTGTTTGTCTATTGTTTATTATAAGTAATTCTGTGGACAACCAATATATATATATATATATATATATATAATACTATACTATATATATCTATGAGTTGTATATATTTTGTTTTTATACATTATATAGATATAAATTATATATATATTGTATGGCATAAACTGAACGATTTTTATTTTAGTTTTTATTATTTATTATTTTTATTTATTATTTTGTTTTTGGTTTGTCTGTCTGTTTAGTTGTATGATTACAAATAAATATCAATACATATATATATAATATATATATATATATATACAGTACAGTCAATACATATAATACAATACATATAATATAGATATCTATTTTCCATTAATGAAACCAAAAAAAAAATTTTTATGTTTTTTTTATTATCAGTCGCTTAATCTGTTTTAACAAATATACTGAATATTAACGGCAAAAAAATATAAGAATAAAAATATTAATACAAAGCTTTTTACTAGTATTTTAATATTTTTTTTGTGTATTATTATTATTATTAGACATTAATATTAAACATTTATCACAAAAAAATGACAATAATATTATATATTTAGTATAACTGTCCACTTAATAGACTTAATAGTATTGTTAATATTACTAATTAATTATTAATAATATATTATTATTATTATTATTAGTGTATGTTTTATGTATATTTTTAATGTATACATAAAACAACAATATTAATAATAATCATAAAAGTTTATTAACTTACAAACTATTTATATTATTATATATAATAGTTATTTGAATATTATTATTATTGTTTATAATAACAAACAAACATACATTAAAAAAAACAATTATTATATGCATATATATATAACGATTTGTTAAACTATTTAATTAATTATTTATATGTTTAATAGTTGGCACAAAAAAAACAGTATACAAATTGAATATATAATATATAACTTTATTGTATATAAATTTATTACTATTAATAAATAACTATTAATTTTTTTTTAAAAATATAATTTCCTATAGTTTACTAATTGTTATTTAAATTGTTAAAAACGTTAAAAAAAATTTCAATAAATATAAATAAATGATAATTAAAAAAATATATTACTAAATAATAGCAATCAATGATTTATATATATATTAAAAATTTAATATTAATAAATATATTGATTTTTTTTAAATTTAAAAAACTATATATTTATTTATCAGTTTAAACTGTATGTATTGAATGTTGTATTATATATATAATATATAAATTATATTATTTTTTTATATATCAAATTTTTGTCAAATATTTAATGATTCAGAAATATAGAGTAGTTTTTATTTTTTTTATTTTTTTATTTTTTATTTTTTTTCAAATGAGTTATCTCGCGGACCATTGACTCAAAATATATTCACTATTCATATAATATATATGTATATATATATATAGTGTATATACAAGTGTATGATATAATAATAATAATTATTATTATATACACAATAGTATTAGATATTGTTTTTTTTAAATATAATCAAAAATATATATATTATTAATACAAATAGCATGCAATTTATATTTGCAGTTCAATATATTTTTTTGTTGTTAGTTAAATATATCCATCATTTATATTGTTAATAATAATATTGATATAATAAATATATAAACATTTTTTGACGATTTATTAGTTAATTAATTAAAAAAATAAATAATAATTTTTATATTATTAATAATAACATTTTTATAATGCAAAATAAATACTGTATTTAATTTTTAAAAATAACTAAATTATTCAATTATTTTTAATTTTTACATTAAATTTATTCAATTAAATATATATTAAATGTATATTAAGTTTTTTTTTATATAAATAGTTTATAGTTATACATTGTTGTAAAAAAATAATTACCCACCTACTATTATATTATAATACTTAAACATTGTATAGTATTATATTAAATATATTAATATATATATAAGCTATAAAAAACTATTAAATATTCAATACAACAATTTATTTTACATTAATAATAATAATAATGATAAAAAATGTCATATATTTTGAATTATTGAACTATACAAACATGCATTCATAACAATCAAAAATTATTTAATATAACTTTTTTCTTTAAATAATAATAATAATAATAAAATATATAGAAATATATATTAAATACTATTTTTTTAGTTAAATAAAATGTTTTTATTAATGATATATATATTACAAATTGATTGTTATGTTAATAATAATCTCAATAAACTTATGTTTATCTTTAAATATAATTTTTAAATCCATGAGATTTAACACATTGATACACACAATGTTTGTTGTTTACATATAATTATATTATATATATTTATTATAATATTATTATCTAAAATGTTTATCACTAAAAAATCTATATCAATATATAAATAATAATTTCATACAATTGTATCTTATGTTTACATAAAATATTTAACACAAAAAAATCTTTATATATTAGTAATATTTCTATCGAGATATCACTTAAAATAATATATAGTAAAATATTATATACATTATTATATACACTGTATATATATATAATGTTAACAATTTTAATTAAAAAAAAATTTAATTAACTACTAATTTAATTTGATTTTTTGTTGTCAATAGAGAGAGAGAGAGAGAGAGAGAGAGAGAGAGAGAGAGAGAGAGAATATATATATAATAATAGTACCAAAAAAAAAAGTTTTTAATTTTTTTTAAGTGTATTAATATTAATTAGTAGATTACAAATTAAAATTATAAATAAATAAATACTAATATATATATTGATGTTATATACAATGATGTAATATACTGTATATACTATATATAGCATATATATATATAGTATATATATATAGATACCGGTATTATTGATTTTTTTGGTGTTAAACAACAACAACAAAAAAAGTTAATAAATATATTTGTCTGCAATAACATAGATGGACACACATTGTTCAATAGATTTATAGATATTATACAAACATTTTATATAAAATATATAAAAATAAAATTAATAAATTATAATTAAAAACTAATTAGTTTAAGTAAAATAATATAAATATTTATTGAATTTATTTATCAAAAATTAATTTGCATATATATACTGCAATACTTATTATTATAAATTTTAATTAAGTTAACTATATATATATATATTTTTTAGAAATTAAAAATAATATAATGTTAAAATTATATTCAATATATACGATATATACTGTATATAAAGTGTATAAATTAAAATATATGAAATAATCATAAATATCTTATAATTATAATTAAATAAAATTAGTATAATTAAAATTAATAAAATTAATTAGTTATCTATCTATTTGGTATACAATAGTATAATAAATAAAAAAATTTCCGATAATAGCACAAAAAATTATATTTAAATTTTATAATATGAAATATATATATATATATATATAACTATAAATTTATTTTTTTTATACAATTTGATAAACTTTATGAAAAAAATATCAATAAATCAATAAATTTAAAATTTAGTAAAACATTATCTAATATATATATATTGTGAATAAATCAATAAACATTTTATAGTTAGTAGAAATTTTTTTTGTGTAATAAATGAGATTTAATGTACAGTATAATGTAATTTGTAAATAAAAATGTTAAACTCTATATACAGTATATATATATATATATATATTATAGATATTAAATAAAGTTATATTTATTATATATATATCTTATTTTTTTTGGCTACAAATTATCAGTAAAAGTAAATGTGTCTAAAAGTCATAATACAACTAAAATATATTGTTAGAGACCTATCACTGGTCTCAATGGGGTCGAGAGTGAGTATAACATATAATTTTCAAACACACACACACACACACACACACACACACACATACACACACACATACACACACACATACACACACACATACACACACACACTTACACACACACATACACACACACACACACACACACATACACACACACACATACACACACACACATACACACACACATACACACACACATACACACATACACACACATACACATACACATACACATACACATACACATACACATACACATACACATACACATACACATACACATACACATACACATACACATACACATACACATACACATACACATACACATACACATACACATACACATACACATACACATACACATACACACAAAATATTGTACAAAACTTTTATAACTACTTTTATTGCTCAAGAATTAACGTATATTGAGATTTGTTTGGCAATAATATAAGACAATAAAGACAGAGACAATGATTACCAAACATTATGAAAGAGAGAGAGAGAGAGAGAGAGAGAGAGTTAGACATTAGAGACACAACTAAAGGGTTTATATTATGTTTATATTGTTGTCGTTGTTGTTGTTGTTGTAGTTGTTGTAAGTAATGTATGTCTTGTTGTGTTTGTGTTAGTTGTGATTGTTTGCACTCAAGATTTCATTTCATTTCATTGAATATTATTTTTATTTTATTTATTTTTTTTGTTGTCAAATGTCTGGTCGCACGACTGGTCTCTTCATTGATGTCTTAATTTTGTTTGCAATAGAGAGACATCCAGTACTAGTAGTAATGTCTACTAATCTACTACTACTAGTGCTGGAGTGTTTGTCCCCTTATGGTACCATCATTTTTGGTGGTCATTACACTACAACTACTACTACTACTACTACTACTACTACTACTGTATCTTCAAATGGTTGTCTGATATCTCAAATGTTTGGTATAGTATTAGTTGTTTTTGTAGTTATATATAGTTATGCTATATGTTTGGTGACAATCAATAATAATAGTTAAAACAAAAATCATTGGATAGTTGTATATTGTTGTTGACATCAATATATATACAATATATATATATATATATATATATAGTATATCAGTGATGATAATACATAGTATACTATCATATAAACTGTATTTCTATTAATTTATTTTCTGTGAAAAAAATGTGGAAATTTAGTGATTATATGTCTATATAAATGTATGAATCATTTTGCAAATATTTGATAGTTTATATATATAAAACTAATCATTGATTAATTTTTATTTTTATAGATATTACTATATTATACACTGTATCAATATTATTGTATAGTAAATAAAAAATCAATTTCATTGATAAAAACTAAAAAATTATATATCAATATATAATATTAAATGTTTTCAACTAAAAAATTGATTGATTTTTTTTAATAAAAAAAATATTATATTATATAAAAAAATGATTTTATTATGATAATTGTTTTAGTTTTTAATCAAATATTTTTAACTGTATTTATATATATACAGTATATAATATTTATAATATTATAAAAGCTAATGGATAGGAGAAAATTTTTTTTTTATAAGTAATTTGTTGTTTATTTAAGTAAAAAATACAAATAAATACAAATTCAAGCATAAAATAAAATCTGAGTGGACTTGACTTATATGTCAGAGAGAGAGAGAGAGAGAGAGAGAGAGAGAGAGAGAGAGAGAGAGAGGAAAGGGATGGGAAATAAAAAGCAAAATCAATGATTGAATGAATGGGTAACTGAAATAAACCAAACAAATAAAAATTATTATACAAAAAAATTGTCACTAATTTAACTACTGATGCCATCGGGTTTTATATATATATACATATATATACTATATATATATTATAATATATATATATATATATATATGAGAGACACGACACTGTCTAACCCTACATATGCCTACACTAGTAATGAGTGGGTAAACCCTAATAATAATAAAAGTGTCGCTCAGTTAGTTTGCTTATACAGTGAGTGTATACTATAGTAAATAGGAAATAATAATAATAATAATAATAATAAAATAAGTTAACAAAAAAATTTTTTTTATATATATATCATTTTACGCTTCAATCACATAATCGATGAGACATTTTGATTATAATTTCAATGACTTTTATGTTGTTGTTGTGTTTGGGATTTAATTTCATAATAAGTAAATGAAAAATACATTATTATTACTATTAATAAATTATTATTATTATTAATAATTATTATTATTATTAATTATTATTTTTTATTTTTATTAATTATTATTATTATTATTAATTATTATTTTTTATTAATTATTATTATTATCTTTGTATATCACGGTTGTTCCGGTGTGATCACAGTTGTGTCGGCCACTTTTGGTGGCAGAGACACGACTGGTTAGACTCAACTCAAGTCTAGTACTTTTCTGACTGTTCTACAACTCTGAAGTATCACTGCTTTTTGCATTTCATAGATCTTAGTTTTTCTTATTTGAAGTGATTCCATACTTAGGGCCAGATTTTTCGGTATTACGGCCATTGATGACAGTATTATAGGTATTATTTCAACTTTCTTAATGCGCCACATCTTATTGATCTCATAGGCCAAGTCTGTATATTTCCGACGTTTCTCACAATGCGTGTCCTGTAATTTATGTGTTAGTGGGACCGCTATGTCTATTATATACGCCTTATCTTGATGTTTGTCTACTATGACTATATCTGGGCGGTTGTGGGCCACAGTCTTATCAGTTCTTATTTCTTTATCCCAGTAGAGCTTGGCACTGTTGTTTTCCATTACACTTTGTGGCTCGTATCTATAGTATGGTAATGGGTCTTTGATTAGTCCGAATCTTATTGCCAGTTCCTGATGTATGATCTTGGCTACTTGATTGTGACGGCTTAGGTACTCGGTATTTGTGAGTACTTTACACCCATTTAGTATATGTTCTATTGTTTCGGACTCCATATGACACATCCTGCACTTGTCTGTTGGTATGTTTAGCTTTTGGATATATTTCTGATGGTTACGGGTCGGAACCACTCGATCTTGTATTGCCATCATGAACCCCTCTGTCTCTCCGTGAAGACCGGCGTACTTCAACCATTTTGTAGACATTTCTTCGTCTACGTGTGTTTGGTTGAGTTCTGCCCGGTATCTTCCGTGGAGTTCTTTTGAGGCCCATGTGTTAATCCTCTCTTTTTCATTTTGTATATCTATTTGATGTTCAATATTGCTGAGGTTTAGAGGTGTGTAGTTGTAATCGAGTGTTGATGTTATTTTGTGGAGCTCTGAGACATAGCATTTTTGTTGATGGTATTTTCTCAACAGTTCTCGCTGTTTGGCCTCAAGGCTTACAATGTTTAGTAACCCTCTACCCCCATGTTTTCTACTAACACATAGTCGTGCTACAGAACTTCTAGGGTGGTGTACTCCAAACATTGTAAGTTGTCGCCTTATATGTCTTTCGATGGTCTCGAGTTCTGTTTTACTCCATTTTATTATTCCGAACGAGTATGTCAGTACAGGTATTGCCCAAGTGTTTATGGCTTTGAATTTGTTGTTTGAGTTTAGTTGAGATTTTAGTATTTTAATGATTCTTTGATTTAATGTTTTCTTTATTTCTTCTTTAACTGCTGTCATTTTAGATTTATGCATTTGTTTAATACCTAAATATTTGTATATATCTCCATTTTCTAGTGCCTTTATATATCCATTATCAGTTTCGTACTCAGGTCTCTCTGAGTAGACACCTCTTTTCAATTTCATTATAGCACATTTATCTAATCCAAATTCCATATTTATGTCATTGGAGAAAGTTTCTGTTGTTTTTAACATTGCATTTAAATCAGATTCTTTTTCGGCGTATAGTTTTAAATCGTCCATATATAGTAGATGTGTTAGATTATATTTTGTATCATTTGACTTTAGATTTACGCCTTTTAACTTTTTGAGTAATGATGACAGTGGATTTAAGGCTAAGCAGAACCACAGAGGACTGAGCGAGTCGCCTTGAAATATTCCTCTGTTTATTTTAATTTCTGTACTTATTTTTGTTCCATTATTTATATTGACACACAATTTAGTTTTCCATTTTTTCATCATATTTTCTAGTGTGTTTATCAGTGTGTTGTCAATTTTATATAGTTTTAACACTCTTAATAACCATTTATGTGGGACTGAATCAAATGCTTTCTTATAGTCTATGTATGCCATTTCAAGATTTCTATGTTTTTGACGAGCTCTTATTGTTATGATATTGTCTATTGTTAATTGCTCTTTACAGCCCATTGAGTGTTTTATACAGCCTTTTTGTTCTTCAGCTATTATGTTGTTGTTGCTTAAATGATTATATATTTTTGTTGATATTATGGATGTTAGGATTTTATACATTGTTGTTAGGCAAGTGATTGGTCTATATTTGCTGGGATCTGATGTATTTTCTGTTTTTGGGAGTAGATATGTTATTCCGGAAGTGAGGAAGTCATCGGTTTGTCCTGTTTGTATTATTTTATCCATTGCTATTGCCATTGGTTCATGTATTGTTGTAAAGTGTTTGTACCAGAAGTTTTGTATTTTGTCTTGTCCTGGGCTTTTCCAATTGTGGGATTTCTTGAGGGCTTCGGTTAAGTCATCTTTTATTATATTTACTGAAGTCATATGTGGTATTTCTTTATTTTCATCTTCAATATCATTTATCCAATTAGATTTTTTATATTCCTTTGGGTTACTCCAGATTTCTTTCCAGTAGTTTTCTATTTCATCTATTTGTGGTGTATTGTTAATATTGCTTGAATTTATTTTATTTTGATTTCTATAGAACATTTTTTCGTTATTATAGAACATTGTATTTTGTTTTCGTCTTTCGCTTTGTTGTTTATATCTTCTGATTCTTTGTGATAGTGCTTGAACTGTTTGTTTTAATGTGTCGTTGTAATTTCGGATTATTGATTCAAATTCAGGTTCTCCAGGTTTTGTCTGTAATAATCGGTATATATCTTTCAATGATTGGTTAAGTCTTTTTGATTTGTTTCCATTTAACACTTGCGTTATTCTTCCAATTACTTGTCTTTTCCCTTCTATACGTGTCTCTATTCGCTTTTGCCATTTAGGTATCATATTTTCATGATTTTGTTTTGTTGTTGACGTGTTCTATTTTGTAACCTAATAGTCTCGATACTGCTACTGCTGCACAATACGTTATTGTATTAATCGCGCTCAACGACATATTATCTTCAATGTAATTTTTAAGTATATCATTAATTGTTATTATTGTAGACCTTGTTTTAACGCCACTTCTTATTTTTGGTAGCTTAGGTCTGAATTCTATTTCAAAGTCTTTATATTGTTCTAAAGATGTTTTTAGTTCATTTTCTGCTGTTATTCTCTTTATTTCATCATTTGTATCGATTCTGTTATCTGTTGTTGTAGGTGTCTCTTCAATTTCTGGCACTACTTCTACTGTGGTATTTAATTCAGTTGTTTCATTTAAGGATAGTTCACGTGCCACTTGTTGTTTGATTTCTTGTAATTCTATTGGGGATATTTTATTATTCTTTGCTAAGAATCGCCGTTGGTCTGCAATTCTTTGTTCCGTTACATTTAGTTCTGGATATTTCTGTTTGAATGCTAAGTATATTTGGTTTCTGTAATCAGTCATATTTGTTTCGAGTCGAGTTGATCTGTAGTATTCGCGCATTATCAAGGTATTCATCTCATGTGTCCATTTCATGCGCTTTTGCGATTTTTCAACCAAATTGGTCAGTTGTCGCTGAGAACCAGCTTGAACTGAAACATTTTGGCGGTTAGTCTGATTTTGTTGACTGGTCTGCGGTCGCATTACATCACAGCTTTGCCCGCATAGCACATCACTGCGTGGGATATGATGCATACTTATCGAACTGCAGTCAATGCCTACCTGCTGAACGCGGGATTTATTTGAGAGGGTACCTCCCGAACACCCCCCGTTATTCCTTCGACTACGTGTAATCATAATTATATATATATTTGTTTTTGGCCTTTTTACGGGGTCCCAGTCCCTAGAATAAGCTCAACACTAACATGTGTCTATTGCCACCCATTTCTCACCACTAACATGCGTTTGTTGAAATAGGATTTTTATTTTTTGAAACAAAAGTGGCCATTGCGTGTGAGGACGAGTAACTACTCGAAGGGTGAAGGGACATCCTTACGGACGCCCCTTCGGGGTGGGGGCACCTTTTTACAGGCACCCCCGGGTGGGAGCACCCTTGCGGGTACCCCCAGGTGGGCACCGATACCGAAGTACCGATACCCGGGGTCGGGCAGAAACTCGTCCTCACGTAGCACCCCGCTTTCCCCATACTACCTAAGTTGGCCGTCCTAAGCAGCGTTGGTTGGGCAGGGACGGGAAACACAGTGAAAACAATTTTTATTTTAACAGAAAAATTGCTTTCCACATCGGGGCTCGAACTCACGATCTTACTCTCCATTACATTACATAGCCCTACACACTAACCACTACACCACTGTGCCTCCTTTTTATTATTATTATATTATTATTATTATTATTATTATTATTATTATTATTATTATTATTATTATTATTATTATTATTATTATTATTATTATTATTATTATTATTATTATTATTATTATTATTATTAATTAATTAATTATTATTTTATTATTATTTGGTTTATATAGTTATCATAATAAATATTTAATTAAATCATTAAATTTACATTAATAGGAATAAAACAATAATTATATTGAAATATAGTATTAAATGTTTGTATGTTTTTTGTTTACTAACTTTTTTTTAAAATTAACAATTTGTTTGTTTGTTTGTATTGTTAAGATATGAAAACAAAATTATGTTCAGACATATATATATATATATATATATATATATATATATATTAGTAAAATAAAAAATAATTTGCTTTTTTGTTGAATCACATGGGATTTGTCATCAAAAAAAAAAATTTTTTTTTGATTACAAAATACATGACTAGAAATTTGCGACTTTTTTTATCCATATTATTGTTGTTTTGCTTTACTTTTATTTTATTTATTTATTTTCCGTTCAATACAGTTGAGACCCGTTTGGCTCTTAATATATATATACTGTATATCTCTATATACTGTATATCTATATATATCTATCCGTCCAATTCAGTTAAGTCTCTCTCTCTCTCTCTCTCTCTCTCTCTCTCTCTCTCTCTCTCTCTCTCTGTTTCACTCATTATGAAGTGTTTTTCGTCAGTCAAAATCAAAACTAGAGATGAAATACTTGTGAATGTTATCCATTGAAAATCCAATCCAATATTTTTTACAGTAAAATTGATTATATAATTATAAAATAATTTAAATTGTTAATTGTTATTAAATTTCAAAAAATACATAGCAAAAAAATATTTGCATTAAGTAATTATTTAAATGCTATCAATATATTATTATTATTTTTAAATATTAACATATATTTATAGATTTAAATTGACATAAATAACAAATTTTTAGTAAAAAAATAGTTTAATAAAAAATAGTTTAACATAATTAGTAATATCATATAAATTATAGATAACATATCATTGGGTAAAAAATGTACATTAAATTGAAAATAACGAGAAAAAAATCATCGTTAAATTGATATAAAAAATTAAACTTTATTTAACTATATTTTTAACTAATAAATTGGTGAATATTTTTTTTAACAACTAATATCTACTTATAAAAAGTAAATATAAAATATATTATTTATATCTACTGTTTATATACTGATATATAGATATATACTGTATATACTGTATGTACAGTAGTTTAAGTATATATATTTAAAATACAAATATAAAAAACAAATTTTTGACAAAATGATTGATTCATAGTATATGTAAAATACTACTAAAATAAACTCAAATAATGTGTTACTATATATATATACTCTATATATATATATATATATATATATATATATATATATATATATATATATATATATATTATGAAACTTACAAACTAATAATAGTATTTTTATTTTGCGAAATAATATATTTTTTGTACAATTTTTTTTTTGGTATGAAATATTAGAAAAATTATTATGTTTTTTACATAATTATAATTAATTTATTAGTTTTTATTATTATTTTAATTTAACACAATATACAGTATATATATGGAAACAAAAAATAACAATGTTTTAGCAATTAATTAAATATACATTTATAATTAAACAAATTAGTATAATTAATTATTTTTTATATTTATACAGTATATATGTGTATTAAATAAATTAATATTATTTTATGATAATAATACAAAAAATTTATTTTTATTATAATTAGTTATAGATTTTATTGTAATTTATATATATATATATATATATTTAATTTATATTTTCTATTAATACATAATAATAATACTATATTATAAGTACATTATAAGTGCAAAATTATAATTATAATATATATTTATAAATAAATAATTAATTATTTATTTATTCATGAAAATAATAACAGGTGCATATATATATACATTACACATACAAACAGGTTAATTGTTTTAAATAATGTTTGTTAATAATAAATATATATATATATATAAACTTTATATTTAATATTTATTTAACTATTAGTATAACAATATTTATATATACTGTATATAAACTTTTACTTATGATATTATTATAAGTTTTATTATTGCCCTATCAATCAATCAATTGTTATAAATATTTAAATATAAAATCTATTTTATATTTAAATATTTTTATTGTTGTCTTTTATTTACTGTTTGCTATCAATTGCTCAAAAAAAAAGTTATGATAAATATACTATTATGATAATAATAAAAAAATAAATAGGAAAATATATACTAGGTAAAAAAACACAATTTCTATTATATATATATATATTGAACAATTTTACATACTTTTTTTATTATTAGATAAATCAATAAATTTTGAGATTTTTATTTATTTTTACTTTTATATAATAATATAAAATATATGATAAGTATTTTTTAAGTACACTTTATATTACTTGATATATATATATATATAAGACACATAAATATTGTAATTTTATTTTTATTTAGTTGAATATTAAGGTAAAAATAATAATAATAATAATATAAAAATACTTGATTTATGGCAAATCTATCATTTATATGACAAATAAGATTTGAAAGATAAATAGATAGATAGATAAATAAATAAAACGACTGAGTGGGTGAATGAGTCACTAAGTGGGTGAGTAAGTGTGTGTGTATGTGTGTGTATGTGTGTGTATGTGTGTGTATGTGTGTGTATGTGTGTGTATGTGTGTGTATGTGTGTGTATGTGTGTGTATGTGTGTGTATGTGTGTGTATGTGTGTGTATGTGTGTGTATGTGTGTGTATGTGTATGTATGTGTGTGTGTGTGTGTGTGTGTGTGTGTGTGTGTGTGTGTGTGTGTGTGTGTGTGTGTGTGTGTGTGTACTTTACATAAATAAATATATGAGTGGATAATAGTTGATAAAAATAGACTGAAATAACTTGATAGAGAGCACATGTATTAGTACTACTACTAATACTAGATGTTAGTAGTAATAGTAAATCAGATATTGATTATGCTATCAAACATTTCAAGAGAGAGAGAGAGAGAGAGAGAGAGAGAGAGAGAGAGAGCTACTAAACCAATAAAAATAGTAAGTAAAGTAAAGTAAAATATATTTATATAGATATATAAAAACTTTGAGATGATTTTCAATCACTTGTGATATGTTTGTAATGTCTGTAACCTTTTTTTATTATTGGGAAAATTTACTGCACTTTAACGTGAAAGTGAGTGAGTGAGTGAGTGAGTGGGTGAGAGAGAGAGAGAGAGAGAGAGAGAGAGAGAGAGAGAGAGAGAGAGAGAGATAGTAAAAGCAAAAAAAAAACAACAAAAAAAGATTTATTACTCTATATATAGATTGTATGTGTATTTAACAGTTGAAATGTTAAATAATTGATTTTTTACTTGAATCTAATATTTAGTTATATATATATATAAAGTTTATATATTAAAAAAATTGTTTTCAACCCTCCCTTTCTAATAACAAGTATTTTTTAAATAAAAATCAGTTATTTTATAATATATATAATATAATATTGAGAGTACAG